TGAGTCTGTGGGTCTCTATGTGGTGAGTCTATGGGTCTCTATAAGACGAGTCTGTGGGTTTCTGTGTGATGAGTCTATGGGTCTCTGTGTGGTGAGTCTGGGTCTCTATAAGATGAGTCTATGGGTCTCCTGTGTGATGAATCTGTGGGTCTCTGTGTGATGAGTCTATGGGTCTATGTGTGATGAGTCTGGGTCTCTATAATATGAGTCTATGGGTCTCTATGTGATGAGTCTGGGTCTCTATAAGATGAGTCTATGGTTCTCTGTTTGGGTTTGTGTATACAGTACTGTATGTATAAAAAAAAATTACAGCACCACTTAGTGGAATGGCGCAATAAATCTTGAGAATGTTTCCGACTTAACGACCCCTTTTGTGTTCGCAATAAGACCCGAAAACTAAAATCCACAATCCTGTTCATAATTGTATTGTGTGGTGTGTGTGTGTAGTGTGTGTGTTGTGTGTGTGTGTGGTGTGTGTGGTGTGTGTGGAGTGTATGTGGTGTGGTGTGTGTAGTGTGTGTGTGGTGTGTGTGGTGTGTGTGTGTGGTGTGTGTGTGGTGTGTGTGTGGACTGTGTGTGTGTGTGTTGTGTGTGTGTGGTGTGTGTGTGGTGTGTGTGGTGTGGTGTGTGTGTGGTGTGTGTGTGGTGTGTGTGGTGTGTGTGTGTGGTGTGTGTGTGTGGTGTGTGTGTGTGGTGTGTGTGTGGTGTGTGTGGTGTGGTGTGTGTGTGGTGTGTGTGTGGTGTGTGTGGTATGTGTGTGTGGTGTGTGTGTGCTGAGAGTGGACTGTGTGTGTGTGGTGTGTGTGGACTGTGTGTGTGTGGTGTGTGTGTAGTGTGTGTGGTGTGTGTGTGTAGTGTGTGTGTGGTGTGTGTGTGGTGTGTGGTTTGTGTGGTGTGTGTGTGGTGTGTGTGGTGTGTATGTGGTGTGTGTGTGTGGTGTGTGTGTGGTGTGTGTGTGTGGGGTGTGGTGTGTGTGGTGTGTGTGTGGTGTGTGTGTGTGGTGTGTGTGTGTGGTGTGTGTGTGATGTGTGTGGGGTGTGTGTGTGAGTGTGTGCGGGGTGTGTGTGGTGTGTGTGGTGTGTGGTGTGTGTGTAGTGTGGTGTGTGTGTGTGTGGTGTGTGTGGGGTATGTGTGGGTGGTGTGTGTGGGTGGTGTGTGGTGTGTGTGTGTGGTGTGTGTGTAGTGTGTGTGTGGTGTGTGTGTGTGGTGTGTGTGTGTGGTGTGTGTGTGTGGTGTGTGTGTGTGTGACTGTGTGGTGTGTGTGTGGACTGTGTGTATGCGGTGTGTGTGTTTAAAAGCCGGCCATCTTGGTTCAAAAGTCGGCCATTTTGGTATTCCAAAGTCGGCCATCTTGGTTCCAAGGTCGGCCATTTTGGTATTCCAAGTCGGCCATCTTGGTTCCAAAGTCGGCCATCTTGGTTCCAAAGTCGGCCATCTTGGTTCCAAAGTCGGCCATCTTGGTTCCAAAGTCGGCCATCTTGGTTCCAAAGTCGGCCATCTTGGTATTCCAAAGTCGGCCAAAAAAAAAAGTTCATTATTTATTTATTTCTTTTGACCTAACTTTACCGAAAAAAACCTAAGAGTATAAAAAAATACAAATAAATTGGATTATTATATTTCTTTATTTTGACATAACTTTACCGAAAAAACCTAAGAGTATAAAAATAATAAAAAGAAAATAAAAGTATTTTTATTTAATTAATTACTTTTACCTATCTTTGCCGAAAAAACCTAAGAGTATAAAAAATATATTTTTTTCCGGTGAAGTTACGTAGGTGAAAATAATTAAATTAAATAATAATAATAATAAAAAATGCTTTTATTTTTTATATACTCTTCGGTTTTTTCGGTGAAGTTACGTAGGTTAAAATAAATAAATTAAATAAAAATAAAATGTATTTTTTATTTTATATATATATTTATACTCTTAGGTTTTTTCGGTAAAGTTAGGTCAAAATAATGAAATTAAAAAAATACATTATTTTTATTATTTTTATACTCTTAGGTTTTTTTCGGTAAAGTTAGGTCAAAATAATTAAATCGGATATTAATAAAATGGATTTTTATTATTATTAGATTTTTATTATTTTTATAGTCTCAGGTTTTTTCGGTAAAGTTAGGTCAAAATAATTAAAAACAAATTTTGTTTTATTATTTTATTCTTATACTCTTAGGTTTTTTCGGTAAAGTTAGGTCAAAATAATGAAATATAATAATACAATGTATTTGTATTTTTTTATACTCTTAGGTTTTTTTCGGTAAAGTCACGTAGGTAAAAATAATAATAAAAAAAGAAAATAATAACATTTTTTCTATTATAATAAAATGTATTGTTATTATTTCATCATTTTACCTCCGTGACCTTACAGAAAAAACCTCAGCGTATAAACCCTTGCAGTCACGAAAGCTTCAAATCGTGCATTCTCCTTTTAGTGAACGTTGCATGCAAGTCTATTGAATGTTGTCGTTTAAATGTCTTTACCAATGGGAACGAATCGTTGTGCTTCCTAAAGTACACCCGCTTAGTGCAACAACTGTGCTAGTGTATTTAGTTACAGGATTTTATATGTAATTATTCATATTTGGAGCCGGCTTTGCAAAAGTGACTTGCTTCGCCCAATGCACCCAATTTTTGTTGTTAAAGATTCGTAGCGTGAGTGGTCCAGATGTCTGGTGACCCCCCCCCCCCCCCACCAATTAATTATCTAATTAATCACCCACCACCCACCCACCACCCACACACCACCCACCCACCACCCACCCACCCGGACATACCACCCACCCACCTGGACCCACCACCCACCCACCACCCACTCACCCATCACCCACCCACCATCCACCCACCTACCCACCCACCACCCACCCACCCGGACCCACCACCCACCCACCCACCACCCACCACCCAGACCCACCACCCACCCAACCACCACCCACCCACCCGGACCCACCACCCACCCACCCACCACCCACCCACCACCCACCCACCACCCACCCAACCACCCACCGGGACCCACCCACCACCCACCCACCACCCACACACCACCCACCCACCCGGACATACCACCCACCCACCCAGACCCACCACCCACCCACCCACCACCCACCCACCACCCACTCACCCATCACCCACCCACCACCCACCCACCTACCCACCCACCACCCACCCACCCGGACCCACCACCCACCCACCCACCACCCACCCAACCACCACCCACCACCCACCCACCACCCAGACCCACCACCCACCCACCACCCACCCAGACCCACCACCCACCCACCACCCACCCACCACCCACCCACCACCCACCCACACGGACCCACCACCCACCCACCACCCACCCACCACCCACCCACCACCCACCCACCACCCACCCACCCAGACCCACGGTGATGTTTTTGGTTTGGTGAGACGTCAAGATCGAGCAAGTTTGAAAGTGTGCTGTGGAATGAAACAGTTTGAGAAGCACAGATTTAGAGGACCGCAGAACTTGGGCAATTATTGGTGCCAGCTCATCGCCTGGACACAGGCTTCCAGGCTGTGTGCAGTTGCTCAGCGGTCGGGATACAATTTGCACAAACGACGCTATATAATACGAAACATTATTTTCTATCTACCTAATCACATTCATCGTAATCAAACCTCACAAATTCTAGATTTGAAGCTTTCGTGGCTGCAATGATTCATATTCTTAGGTTTTTTCGGTAAAGTCACCGTGTAGGTAAAAACATTAAAATAAAATAAAAATCACGACGTTTCGGAGGCAACACAAGCTGCCGTCTTCAGGTGGAACCGTCACAGCCACGACAGCCGTATCAAGTACATGAGAGATTGCAAGAGCTACCACTCCGTTTATATAATGGTTGGAGAAAGTGGTGGGGCATGGGCCGCATACTTACCATATTAATACAAAGTATGCGGCCCATGCCCCACCACTTTCTCCAACCATTATATAAACGGAGTGGTAGCTCTTGCAATCTCTCATGTACTTGATACGGCTGTCGTGGCTGTGACGGTTCCACCTGAAGACGGAAGCTTGTGTTGCCTCCGAAACGTCGTGATTTTTATTTTATTTTATTATGTTTTTACCTACCGTGACTTTACCGACAAAACCTAAGAATATAAACCTCACAAAGCCAAACCGTGCCTTGTGTTCAAGCGCAAGGATTCCCTGAAGACTCCGCCTTCAACCTCGACGCAATAAGCAATCCTCTTCACATCATTGTGGGTGCCCGTCTTTATTCCGAGTTTAAACCCTTACAACGTATTCAGAACGTGAACTTGAAAAGAAACGCGAACTTGAAGTCAAATGTTTTTAAAGCGCTAAAGTAACGATTCGTAAGCTGTAATAGTTCTCTGAAACGCAACACAGCGCCTCAGTAACACCGTGACCTTGCAACAAAAAACTGATTTTCATCCGCAACATTTCGGACAAAGGAGCTCTTTCACGGCGCGTGGAGAGGCCGGGTGGGTCGAACGGATACGAGTTGGAGACGCCGTTGACCCACCCGACCACTCTGGCTTGTCTGTGCGCTGTGAAGGGCCAGTGGCCCGAAACGTCACATATTTAGTTGATACTCTTAGGCTATTTCGGTAAAGTCACGTAGAAGGGAAGTAATAAAATAATAAAAATAAAACATAAAATACAATTCTCACGACGTTTCGGCCACAACGCAAGCAGCCGTCCTCAGGTGAAGAACAGGTCTGTCGGGGAGACAGCGTCTGAATGAAACATGAATGAAACATTCAGACATGTTCTTCACCTGAGGACGGCTGCTTGCGTTGTGGCCGAAACGTCGTGAGAATTGTATTTTATTATGTTTAATTTTTATTATTTTATTATTTCCCTTCTACGTGACTTTACCGAAAGAACCAAGAAGATGAATCCCTGTGGTCACGAAAGCTTTAAATCGAAATATAAACTACATTTTTAATTTCGATTTAAAGTTTTCGTGACTGCAGGGATTCATCTTCTTGGTTATTTCGGTAAAGTCGTCACGTAGAAGGGAAGTAATAAAATAAAAATAAAACATAATAAAATACAATTCTCACGATGTTTCGGCCACAACGCAAGCAGCCGTCCTCAGGTGAAGAACAGGTCTGTTATTTTATTATTATTTAAATATTTTATTATTTTAATTTTATTATTTCCCTTCTACGTGACTTTACCGAAAGAACCAAGAAGATGGTGTCCCACTGTTACTCTGACCCTGTCAACCAATCGCAGTTCACCCCGTATTCTTGTACAGGGGAATTGAGCTTACAGGTTCATAGGGCGTACAGCCGTTTCAATACGGGCAATAAGTATAACCCGTAAAAACAAAGTTTTTCACTATAAATCCTTTATATGCGTGGCGGCTAGAGTCCTCTCGTCCTCTGGCTTGAGATGGCTGCCACCTATGGGTCAGATGATTGTCTGCCAGTATTAAACAATTGGTAATTAAATATTTTATTTGTTTTCCATAAACAGTGTAAAATTTTGGAAAAAATTTTTTTTTCACGAACATCAATAGTCACGCACAACGAGTCTGTGTGCAAAATGTCAGCTCGATTGGATCACGGGAAGTGGGTTAAAAAACGACCGAAAGATTTGCACGGTCGCAAGCAAGCAAGCAAGCACGCAAGCACGCAAGCAAGCGAACTTAATATAAAGGATTTAAAAATGTAATTTCGCGTCCATTTTTTGATTTAAAGCTTTCCGTCTTCTCGACAGACGCTGTTCTCCACCTGAGGACGGCTGCTTGCGTTGTGGCCGAAACGTCGTGAGAATTATTTTATTATGTTTTATTATTTTATTATTTCCATTCTACGTGACTTTACCGACAGACCTGTTCTCCACCTGAGGACGGCTGCTTGCGTTGTGGCCGAAACGTCGTGAGAATTATTTTATTATGTTTTATTATTTTATTATTTCCATTCTACGTGACTTTGGTGGGCCCACCGTAACGACACAAGTGCTTGGCAAAGCGTCTCGCTAAAACATTGTAAATGTGGGGTCTCCGCCCGGAACTCCACCCGCGTCGCCCTGAACCCCAAAGTCGCTCCAGGGGAAGGGGAAGCTGGCCCCTTGGCCCTCCTCCTCGGGGTCGCCTCCGTTCCCAGCGGCTTCGGTCAGCGCTCCTGCGTTCGGTAGCACGAAGGGGTTTGCGGGTGGAGAGAGTTGAGGATGGGGGGGGGGGGGTGTCGTCAATGTGTCCATTGAGCTTAATGCAGTCGCGTTCACGGGGTTGTAAGGACACGACACCCACTAGAGCAGCGGTCGGAAAGCTGTGGCTCGCGAGCCATACACGTGGCTCTTCCGCTGACGGCATGTGGCTCCCAGGCAATTTCGAGTTGAAAAAAAAAAAAATCAGTTTGGAACTGATTTTAAAATACTTGTGATATTGCTTAATAATACCGTGTCATCTTCTTGGTTCTTTCGGTAAAGTCGCCACGTAGCAGGGAAGTAATAAAATAATAAAAATAATAAAACATAATAAAATTATTCTCACGACGTTTCGGCTACAACGCAAGCAGCCGTCCTCAGGTGAAGAATGAGACACTGCCAAGCTTGGAGCTTATATAAAAGCTGGGTTCATTGCTTCTACATACTAGTTAACATTCCCTCCCTTTGTTAATGCTACTCCCTGCACCCTCCCTTGGTGCTGCTGATCCTGCGTAATGCACGGGCATAATATGACTTTGAAACCTCCCCGCCCACCTCCTACGCATTTCCATGAATATGCTAAACTCCTCTTGATATGCACATTCTTTTTGTTAAGGTGCTCTTCTTCCACCTCCAACCCAGCTTATATATAAGCCCCAAGCTTGGCAGTGTCTCATTCTTCACCTGAAGACGGCTGCTTGCGTTGTGGCCGAAACGTCGTGAGAATAATTGTATTATGTTTTATTTTTATTATTTTATTATTTCCCTTCTACGTGACTTTACCGAAAGAACCAAGAAGATGAATCCCTGCAGTCACGAAAGCAGATTTAAATCGCGAATTGCTGAAATATTCACCAAAGTCAAGAACACACACGCACACACACGAGTGTAGGTGGTTGTGTAAGTGCCGTACCGGCTTTAAACATCTCAGCGGCGGTTTCTCCAGCGACTGCCTCCAACGGAATCTGTGAAGCAAGAGACACGTGACATTTCATTTTTAGCTGCCACGTATCATTGTTATAAAGACACGTTGGAGCCGAGTGTTACATTCACCGCCGCTGTGTCTCAAGATTATCATCCTCATGCCCCTTGAAGTTTTTTCTCACCGTACGTAGACAATCGAAGGTGCGGGGGGAGGGGGGCGGGAAACAAACTGAACACAAAAAGCAGTAATTCTAGATTTGAAGCTTTCGTGACTGCAAGGATTCATATTCTTCGGTTTTTTCGGTAAAGTCACCGTGTAGGTAAAACATCAAAATTAATAAAAATAAAATAAAATAAAATTCACGACGTTTCGGGACTTGTGTTGCCTCCGAAACGTCGTGATTTTTATTTTATTTTATTTATTTTATTTTTTATTAATTTTGATGTTTTACCTACACGGTGACTTTACCGAAAAAACCTAAGAATACAAAAAGCAGTTCTAAAGAAATGAGCTTTCAATTTAGACAATAATATGTATGAACCTGCGACGCGCAGTGTTCGCTATTCTACGCTTACGTGATGATGGTTACAAACTGAGTAATCATTGGAAAGATGTGATTAACCATGCAAAAAAGATTTAACTACACTTATTTGGACCATCTTATTTGACAGACAACTATTACAGGTTATTGATAGACAGCCAGTTGCTTGTTTTACCATGTTTAGCTGTTTCTTTTTTCACACTATTGTTACGTAGGCCAGGCTTAGTCACATACCGTACCTCTCCATAACAAAGATTTGTAACGGCACGGGGTGACCAGTGAGGTCTGCATAAAATTGTAATAAAGCCGGCACTGATAAGGGGTTGACAGGCACGTTAATCACCAACGGCATGAGCGAGGAACTTGCAGGGGCTGCACCTTTAACTAACATATTTGATTGTTAAAAGTCAATTTGATGAATGCATCCTGAGTGTCTAAAAAAACCCTTTAGATCTTGGTGAGCCGTTGCATTGTGATTTTTAGTCTTACGCTGATGTCCCGTCTGTCCAATACAGCATTTACCGCATATGCAATTGATCCGATATACACCTTCTTATTCTTGGTTCTTTCGATAAAGTCACGTAAATAGAAAAGAAAAACATCCAAAAGTGAAAACAATAAGATGAAATAAAAATAATAAAATAAAATACAAATAAATATAAAATAATAAAAGCAAAAAAACCCACAACGTTTATCTTATAATTTTATTTTAATTTATTTTAAAATTTTGTTTTCTATTTACGTGACAACTTCTGTTGATAACTTCGTTAATTCATCTTCAGTACGAGACACTAGTTTTAGAATTTTGCCTACCTTAGCCAATCTTTACTTTTGCAAAACACGGCCTAATTTGTCAGTAACCCCGAGACATACGCCATTCAAATTGTCTTGATAATCCGATCACTTTCAGCAGTATTGTCGTGCGGCGAAAACACGTTTGCCCTGAATACAAAACAACTTACGGGCGCGCCGAATAATGTCAACTCGAAATTTTCCTGCTGCTGCAGCTCGGCCTCCAAGTCGTATCCATCGTCCTGGGAACGCAAAAGTCTCGCGTCGTCATTCCACACGCGCAGCGCACCACGCGATGCAGCGATCGACACCGCCAGTTAGTCCGTGTTCCGATTTAAAGCTTCTTTCGTGACTGCAGCAGGGATTCATCTTCTTGGTTCTTTCGGTAAAGTCATCACGTAGAAGGGAAATAATAAAATAATAGAAATAAAACATAATAAGATACAATTCTCACGACGTTTCGGCCACAACGCAAGCAGCCGTCCTCAGGTGAAGAACAGGTCTGTCGGAAAGACAGCGTCTGAATGAACAGGTCTGTCGGAAAGACAGCGTCTGAATGAACAGGTCTGTCGGAAAGACAGCGTCTGAATGAACAGGTCGGTCGGAAAGACAGCGTCTGAATTAACAGGTCTGTCGGAAAGACAGCGTCTGAATGAACAGGTCGGTCAGAAAGACAGCGTCTGAATTAACAGGTCTGTCGGAAAGACAGCGTCTGAATGAACAGGTCTGTCGGAAAGACAGCGTTTGAACGAACGGGTCTGTCGGAAAGACAGCGTCTGAATGAACAGGTCTGTCGGAAAGACAGCGTCTGAATGAACAGGTCTGTCGGAAAGACAGCGTCTGAATGAACAGGTCTGTCGGAAAGACAGCGTCTGAATGAACAGGTCTGTCGGAAAGACAGCGTCTGAATGAACAGGTCTGTCGGAAAGACAGCGTCTGAACGAACAGGTCTGTCGGAAAAACAGCGTCGGAACGAACAGGCCTGCCGGAGAGACAGCGTCTGAACGGACAGGCCTGCCAGAAAGACAGCGTCTGAACGGACAGGCCTGCCGGAGAGACAGCATCTGCACGGACAGGCCTGCCGGAAAGACAGCGTCTGCACGGACAGGCCTGCCGGAAAGACAGCGTCTGAACGAACAGGCCTGCCGGAGAGACAGCGTCTGAACGGACAGGCCTGCTGGAAAGACAGCGTCTGAACGGACAGGCCTGCCGGAGAGACAGCGTCTGCACGGACAGGCCTGCTGGAAAGACAGCGTCTGAATGGACAGGCCTGCCGGAGAGACAGCGTCTGAACGGACAGGCCTGCCGGAAAGACAGCGTCTGAACGGACAGGCCTGCCGGAGAGACAGCGTCTGAATGAACAGGTCTGTCGGAAAGACAGTGTCTGACACTGTCTTTCCGACAGACCTGTTCTTCACCTGAGGACGGCTGCTTGCGTTGTGGCCGAAACGTCGTGAGAATTGTATTGTATCATGTTTTATTTTTATCATTTCATTATTTCCCTTCTACGCGACTTTACCGAAAGAACCAAGAAGATGAGTCCGTGTTACTCGCGTCTGCGGCTGTGCGTGCGAGCGGCGCTCACGTGGCGCGTTGGCTCACGTCACCTGCGCCAGGTTTGTTGCGACGGACATGGGCGAGCCTGGGTACGAGAAGCCCGGGGAGTCTGGCGGGAAGCCATCGACGGCGTCCTCTCGCGAGGTTTCCTCATCGTCAGATGATGTCGGGGGCGAGCAGTTCTCCTCTTCCGGATATTCGCTCCTGCCAAAGAAATACGCGCAAATTAATTGCCGTGCCGTACACGACGTTGAGTGACAGCGTGACGTATCCGCCCGTTATCTGCGTGGTGTTGGTGGCTGCGCGCACGCCTGCAATGCAGCACTGGAGGTAGCAAGGGTCGGTGGAAGAGGTCGCACCGGGTACCCGATACCCGTACCCTACCCGATACCCGTACCCTACCCGATACCCGTATACTACCTATACCCGTACCCTACCCGATACCCGTACACTACCCGATACCCGTACCCTACCCGATACCCGTACACTACCCGATACCCGTACCCTACCCGATACCCGCACCCTACCCGATACCCGTACCCTACCCGATACCCGTACACTACCCGATAGCCGTACCCTACCCGATACCCGTACCCTACCCGATACCCGTACACTACCCGATACCCGTACCCTACCCGATACCCGTACCCTACCCGATACCCGTACCCTACCCGATACCCGTACCCTACCCGATACCCGTACCCTACCCGATACCCGTACCCTACCCGATACCCGTACCCTACCCGATACCCGTACCCTACCCGATACCCGTACACTACCCGATACCCTACCCTACCCGATACCCGTACCCTACCCGATACCCGTACCCTACCCGATACCCGTACACTACCCGATACCCGTACCCTACCCGATACCCGGCTACCCGTACCCGGCCGAGTACGGGTAGGCCGTGAGTCACTGGTGAGTAACTGTTTGTCACTCATTTCCCAACGTCTTGTCTCTTCTCACAATTCAAGTTCCTAGAATCAACCCACCCGCGCCTGCAACATGGCTTCATCCCAGAGGTCGCAATCGGGTACCCGATACCCGTACCCTACCCGTACCCGGCCGGGTACGGGTAGGGTACGGGTACGGCCGGGTACGGGTAGGGTACGGGTACGGGTAGGGTACGGGTAAGGAATCAAAACCCGTTTGCGACCTCACGGGGTGACCAGCCCCTCCCCACCCAGCCCCTCCCCACCCTCCCCACCCAGCCCCTCCCCACCCTCCCCACCCAGCCCCTCCACACCCTCCCCACCCAGCCCCTCCCCACCCAGCCCCTCCCCACCCTCGCAGCCCCTCCCCACCCAGCCCCACCCCACCCTCCCCACCCAGCCCCTCCCCACCCTCCCACCCCAGCCCCTCCACACCCTCCCCACCCAGCCCCTCCCCACCCAGCCCCTCCCCACCCTCCCCACCCAGCCCCTCCCCACCCTCCCCCACCCAGCCCCTCCACACCCTCCCCACCCAGCCCCTCCCCACCCTCCCCTCCCAGCCCCTCCCCACCCTCCCCACCCAGCCCCACTCCTCCTACCCCCCACCCAGACCCACCCTCTCCACCCAGCCCCACCCCTCCCATTTTTGGATGCACGGCGGACGGACGGACGGACACAACAATCCCCTGTGGGCTGCTGTAACCAGGAGGTTCCTACCAGTATTATAGGAAAGCAAAGACCCTCGCCCTCCACAAGCTAAGGCCAGACGAACCCTCCGTGCCGTTCAGTGGCCAACCCAACCCCCCGCTACTCCCACCGGCACTCTCCGTTGGTCACGGCAAAGTGCGGTGCACGGCCGTCAGTCCCCACCACCCCCCCCGGGTTCCTCTCAACTCCCTCGGCCGCTCGTGCGCAAGTCGCTTCCACGTGCTCTTAGTTCTTTCGGTAAAGTCACCATGTAGGTAAAAAAATGAAATTAAAATTAATTTTTAAAATAATCACGACGTTTCGGAGGCGGAAGCTTGCGTTGCCTCCGAAACGTCGTGATTTTTTTATTAATTTCAATTTCATTTTTTTACCTACGCGGTGACTTTACCGAAAGAACTAAGAGTATGAATCCTTGCAGTCGCGAAAGCTTCAAGTCGCTTCCACGTGCTCACCGCTGAGGGCTGAGCGAGCTTGAACGTGTTGCCGTGTGGAATGAGAAAAGTTCGCGAGGCACCGGTCTGTCTCGAACTACGCCATGGCACCTATTCGACACCCACGCTCAACATTTCTGCGTCGATCCAGCAACCCGCGTTGCCATCACGGTGATGGATTACAGGCCACGCGCCTATCCACCACCACCACCACCACCACCCGGTTATCAATATCACATCGCGAGCTGTTGATTGTTGGGAAATGGGTTACCTTGGGGACATCATGTCGTCATCGTCATGTGCTGCCATGTACTCTTCTTGTGCTTCTACGTCATCTTCTTGTGCTGCGCCATCTCCTGCTGTTATGTCATCTTCTTCTGTTATGTCATCTTCTTGTGCTGCATCATCTCCTTCTGCTGCACAATCTTCTTGTGCTACACCATCTCCTGCTACATCATCTCCTGCTGTTATGTCATCTCCTTCTGTTATGTAATCTTCTTCTGCTGCACAATCTTCTTGTGCTACACCATCTCCTGCTACATCATCTCCTGCTACACCATCTCCTGCTACATCATCTCCTCCTGCTACATCATCTCCTTCTGTTATGTCATCTTCTTGTGCTACACCATCTCCTGCTACACCATCTCCTGCTACATCATCTTCTTGTGCTGCGCCATCTCCTGCTGCTACATCATCTCCTTCTGTTATGTAATCTTCTTCTGCTGCACAATCTTCTTGTGCTACACCATCTCCTGCTACATCATCTTCTTGTGCTACACCATCTCCTTGTGCTACACCATCTGCTTGTGCTGCATCATCTTCTTGTACTACACCATCTGCTTGTGCTGCTACACCATCTGCTTGTGCTGCTGTGTGGTATTCCTGTGCTACATCATCTCCTTCTGCTATGTCATCTTCTTGTGCTACACCATCTCCTGCTACATCATCATCTTCTGTTATGTCATCATCTTCTGTTATGTCATCATCTTCTGTTATGTAATCATCTTCTGTTATATAATCATCTTCTGTTATGTCATCATCTTCTGTTATATCATCGCCTTCTGTTATATCATCTCCTCCTGCTACAGCATCTCCTTCTGTTACGCCATCTGCTTGTGCTGCTGTGCCATCTGCTTGTGCTGCTGTGTGGTATTCCTGTGCTAATGTGCCATCTCCTCGTGGCGCAGATGTGGAAGGCGTGGCTTGGGAAGAAGATACTTTTTCTCTGGTGAAAGCAGATGACTCGGGACATCCAATTGATTCCTGAATATATAAACAAATAGACACATCACGATAAACAACACAAGCAAACACCGTGACACACACATGCCATCTACCGTTTAGCGCGTCAGATGTGTCCATCGGTGATCGCTCGTAATCTTGTCTCGGCGTGTTACGGTCAAATTTCGATTTAAAGCTTCTTTCGTGACTGCAGCAGGGATTCATCTTCTTGGTTCTTTCGGTAAAGTCGTCACGTAGAAGGGAAGTAATAAAATAATAAAAATAAAACATAATAAAATAATTCTCACGACGTTTCGGCTACAACGCAAGTAGCCGTCTTCAGGTGAAGAATGAGACACTGCCAAGCTTGGAGCTTATATATAAGCTGGGTTGGAGGTGGAAGAAGAGCGCCTTAACAAAAAAGAATGTGCATATCAAGCTCATATATAAGCTCCAAGCTTGGCAGTGTTTCATTCTTCACCTGAAGACGGCTGCTTGCGTTGTGGCCGAAACGTCGTGAGAATTATTTTATTATGTTTTATTTTTATTATTTTATTACTTCCCTTCTACGTGGTGACTTTATCGAAAGAACCAAGAAGATGTTACGGTCGTTAAACGTCTCGCCTCGCTCGATTTCGAACTCAAGATTTCTCCGCCGTTAATTCTTCGCAACCAAAGGACCCCCTCGCCAAAAACCCCGCGGGCAAATCGGCTCGTAGCGACGCTCCCAAGAATGTAACGACGAGGGAGGATTTGAGTGCGTAGGGCCCCCTTGCTACACCGACTCCTGAGTAGCTTCAAGCGCCACTCATTGCATCTCGTCACTGCCGTCGGCAGTCTGGCCAAGGGGGCACCCCCACTGGCAGCTGTCCCTGTGTGGCACGAGGTGTACCACAGCAGCGGCGAGCGAGTGGGAGGTCATTTGACAGTCTTCGATTTCATTCGAGGCTATTTTGAAACGAGGACCGAGGGGGGTGGGCCAGTCTGCGGCCCGCAATTGAAAGGTCACGAGTTCAACCGCTGATTGGATTGCCGACTAAGCCCATCATCATCATCATCCCTCTCTCCGCGCTGTAATGAGTTAATGAGGACGTCACCCTGCTGCTGCTGCTGCTGCTGCTCTATATAAGAACGGGAGACACAGCAGAGACCCTCAACATTCTGGCGAATTGTGCGATGATGATGCTGGATGCAATTACCAGCGAAACGTCACAGCGCTACTCAAATAGTAAATTGTTGTGGTTTCACGCTTCAACACACACCGGTGTGGGGGCTAAAGCAGTGAACTAATTTGTCTTTTGTCAACGTGACACTTTTTTACCGATTGGCCGTGTCGGGTGGTGGAGGGTTACGACACATTTATAAATAACGCGGCCATCTAAACCCAAACACGTTGATTGTGAATAAAATAATAACGATAACCACCAGACAGACAGGGAAGCCAATAAGTGGTTGGTCCTATGGAGGAACTCACCCTCACCATAGGATCACGTGGGATTTCCAGCATTGGCGTCGGTACGGGATTGGTGTCTGGCTGTAGAACTTTGGGGTACCTGATAATTGGTTTTTTACCCTTCTACCTGGCAACAAAACTGACACCTTTTTACAAGGATAATGTGCACATTATCAGAGTTATGTCTTTTGTTTGTATTATGACTGCAGGTATTGTGGTCTATGCAAGCAAGACTCCTTGTAAAAAAAAGGTGTCAGTTTTGTTGCCAGGTAGAAGGGTAAAAAAACAATTATCATATTTTTACTGGCAAATGAGGTTCCCATAGTGTAGATGTTTGCCCCGAGCTCTCATACTCTGATGGTGCGTTGTCTTTGAGTTGTGCGCCTTTTGGCGTCATCTGGTCCAACCCATGTGAGACTAGGCTCTAAGGAAAGCTGTCTCGGGTGTGGACCAATCAACTTTAAGGACCATGTGAGACTAGGCTCTAAGGAAAGCTGTCTCGGGTGTGGACCAATCAACTTCAAGGACCATGTGAGACTAGGCTCTAAGGAAAGCTGTCTCGGGTGTGGACCAATCAACTTCAAGGACCATGTGAGACTAGGCTCTAAGGAAAGCTGTCTCGGGTGTGGACCAATCAACTTCAAGGACCATGTGAGACTCGGCTCTAAGGAAAGCTGTCTCGGGTGTGGACCAATCAACTTCAAGGACCATGTGAGACTAGGCTCTAAGGAAAGCTGTCTCGGGTGTGGACCAATCAACTTCAAGGACCATGTGAGACTAGGCTCTAAGGAAAGCTGTCTCGGGTGTGGACCAATCAACTTCAAGGACCATGTGAGACTAGGCTCTAAGGAAAGCTGTCTCGGGTGTGGACCAATCAACTTCAAGGACCATGTGAGACTAGGCTCTAAGGAAAGCTGTCTCGGGTGTGGACCAATCAACTTCAAGGACAGTGCATATATTATCAGAGTTGTGTTCTTTAGTTTGCATTATGACTGCAGGTATTGCGGTCTATGCAAACATGACTCCTTGTAAAAAAGGTGTCAGTTTTGTTGCCAGATAGAAGGGTAAAAAAAACAATTATCATATTTTTACTGGCAAATGAGGTTCCCATAGTTTGCGGTACCTGATTCATCCACAGGGGGTTGGCAGTGCCGGTCTCGGGCTCCATGTGGCCTGTGTCCATTGCTTCGTCTTCATCTTCTACTTCTTCTTCTTAAAGACACAAAAGTTACGAGCACAAGTCAGATCTGAAACACGGCAGAACTGATTCTTCGGCCGTTGCCGATCATTGCTACAACTCGGTGGGCTCTCGTGAAATTGTCTTTTCCGAGACCAAGGTTCTCTGCAAACCTCCTGGCTACCATCAAAGGTTTGTACACGAAGCCATACAAATATACAAACACAGACATAATTTCAACCGTGATGATGGTTACAAACTGAGTAGCCATTGGAAAGATGTGATTAACCATGCAAACAAGATTTAACTACACTTATTTGGACCATCTTATTTGACAGACAACTACTACAGGTTATTGATAGACAGCCAGGCTTGTTTTACCATGTTTTAGTTTGTTTCTTTTTTCACACTATTGTTACGTAGGCCAGGCTTAGTCACAAACCGTACCTCTCCATAACAAAGGCTCAGCCTCTTAAGCCTCACCTTACCGTATTAATAAAAAGTATGCCGTACTTGGCCCTTACCCCCCCTCTCCAACCATTATATAATCGGAGTGGTAGCTCCTGAAATCTCTCATTTACTTGATACGGCTGTCGTGGCTGTGACGGTTCCACCTGAAGACGGAAGCTTGTGTTGCCTCCGAAACGTCGTGATTTTTATTTTACTCTTATTAATTTTAATGTTTTACCTACACGGTGACTTTACCGAAACAACCTAAGAATAAAAGCTACTTTGTTTAACCCGTAGGCTTTCGCGACCATGTCTGTCGCTTACCCTATTAGTAATCCAACCGGTAACGGATATCCATTCTGATGTAGATGCACGTGTAGTGGTGTTAACTACTCGCCGTTCGCAAACTGTGAGAGCTGATCGTAAACAAGGTTTTCCCGCTCAATCAAACGGTCCGGGTCAGATGGGGTGAGGTAGGATCCAAACGCCAGATTGGGAAGGACCAATCGGAGGGTCCCACAAGGTGGCCGGGGATTGGACAACCCGGCCACGAACAAAAGCCGGAGCGCTGAGAGCTCTGGAGGAGTTCTGCTACACGAGACCCAGTCGGCCGAAGACGTCTAGGACCCTGGACCAAGCCGTCTCAGCCCTCGTCAGGGCTCGGGCTCAGAGTCACCAGCGGTCGGGGAGAGATCCCCTAGGTCAGGGGTCGGGAACCTTGTTGACTGGGAGAGCCATAAAAGCCAAATATTTCTAAATATATTTCATGAGAGCCATATAGTGTAATTTTAACGTATAATAAATTAATACGTCTTACTTTAATGTGCTTCTGGTCACGGGACCCGTGACCCGATAAATTTTATCTTCAAAACTAATTTCTGTTCACTTTAAAATGGAACACTATTATATTAAGCAAATATCACAAGTATTTTAAATCAGTTCCAAATGATTTTATTTTTATTTTTTTATTATAATTTTTTTCAACTCAAAATTGTCTGGGAGCCATATGCCGTCACCGGAAGAGCCATGTGTATGGCTCGCGGGCCATAGGTTCCCGACCGCTGCCCTAGGTCCAGCCAGAGGACGCTGGGACGAGCAGGGAGATTAGACAGCCTGCAAGGTCCGGAGACTTGTACCTTCTGAGGGTAACGGTGTGAGGGGACCGTATACCCCCTTAGTGTGATAGGGGCTGTGGTGTTAAGATAATAAACAGTGTGTGCCTAAAGAAGTCCAGAAGTCCGTCCTTACAACACTCACACACGCATTAACCCTCCCACACCTCTGGTCTTCGCACCGGATTGGCCCACACAAAGTGGAGATGTCACACGATCCCATCTATTTGAGACGAAACACGAGGAGGATTTCTCCACGACTCTGCGGCTGTCGCTGATGACTGCGGGTGTTGTGATTACCGGCGAAACGTCACAGCTACTCGAATCGTAAATGTGTGAGCTGACTCTCCGCCACAACATTACGCTGAACTAGTAACGAGTGGCGCGCTTTCTTTACGTGGCAAACCTTCCCCACTCGGCCTGAACTAGTAACGAGTTGGCGCGATTTCACTACGTGGCAAACCTTCCCACTCGGCTGTATGGGCGGGTTAGGTTAGGGTTGTGATTACCGGCGAAACGTCACAGTACTCGAATTGTAAATGTTGTGCGCGACCTCTCGAACCCCCAGTGCGCTGAACTTAGTAACGAGTTGGCGCCTGTCACCTACGTGGCAAACCTTCCCACTCAGCTGTATGGGGGGGTTAGGGTTACCAGCGAAACGTCACAGCTACTCGAATTGTAAATGTTGTGAGCTGACTCTCCAACACACCAGTGCGCTGAACTAGTAACGAGTTGGAGCGCTTTCACTACGTGGCAAACCTTCCCACTCGGCTGTATTGGGCGGGTTATGGTTCGGATTACCGGCGAAACGTCACAGCTGTTCGAATTGTAAATGTTATCAGCTGACTCTCCAACACACCAGTGCGCTGAACTAGTAACGAGTTGCCGCGCTTTCACTACGTGGCAAACCTTCCCACTCGGCTGTATTGGGCGGGTTATGGTTAGGGTTGTGATTACCGGCGAAACGTCACAGCTACTCGAATTGTAAATGTTGTGAGCTGACTCTCCGACACACCAGTGCGCTGAACTAGTAACGAGTTGGCGCGCTTTATTTACGTGGCAAACCTTCCCACTCAGCTGTATGGGGGGGTTAGGGTTACCAGCGAAACGTCACAGCTACTCGAATTGTAAATGTTGTGAGCTGACTCTCCAACACACCAGTGCGCTGAACTAGTAACGAGTTGGAGCGCTTTCACTACGTGGCAAACCTTCCCACTCGGCTGTATTGGGCGGGTTATGGTTCGGATTACCGGCGAAACGTCACAGCTGTTCGAATTGTAAATGTTGTCAGCTGACTCTCCAACACACCAGTGCGCTGAACTAGTAACGAGTTGCCGCGCTTTCACTACGTGGCAAACCTTCCCACTCGGCTGTATTGGGCGGGTTATGGTTAGGGTTGTGATTACCGGCGAAACGTCACAGCTACTCGAATTGTAAATGTTGTGAGCTGACTCTCCGACACACCAGTGCGCTGAACTAGTAACGAGTTGGCGCGCTTTATTTACGTGGCAAACCTTCCCACTCGGCTGAACTAGTAACGAGTTGGCGCGCTTTCACTACGTGGCAAACCTTCCCACTCGGCTGTATTGGGCGGGTTATGGTTAGGGTTACCGGCGAAACGTCACAGCTACTCGAATCGTAAATGTTGTGAGCTCACTGTCCAACACACCAGTGCGCTGAACTAGTAACGAGTTGGCGCGCTTTCACTACGTGGCAAACCTTCCCACTCGGCTGTATTGGGCGGTGGCGGGTTTAACGACGCGCGCATATTTACGCGATCAAACACGAAAATCACGGAACAGCTTCGGTCGTTCGGCACGCGAACACCTGTCGCCACCAATGACGATCGGCATAAAGATACGGGGCAAAGTTTAATCGAGTATATAATTACAATAACACCGCCTCACATCGTTGCACCTGATGAGTTAATGAGTCAATGATGACGTCACTATATAAGCAGCAGGGTGACGTCATCGCTAGTTAGTGATGACGTCACCCTGCTGCTGCTGCTCTATACAAGCAGCAGGGTGACGTCATCACTAGTTAATGATGACGTCACCCTGCTGCTCTATATAAGCAGCAGGATGACGTCATCGCTAGTGAATGATGACGTCA